GTGTCTCCGGAGCGCGATATTGTGCTTCGAACGTGTTTTCTTGTGTTCAAATGTTTTATTGAAAAGAAAAAGTACAGCACTTGCAAACTATTATATTTATGTCGAAAATGAAATTAATCCATCCAACTGAGATGAGTGGACCGATAGTCACTGATAGTTTTTTTCAGTATTAAAGGTGTTGGAAGGGGTGTTTTCCATCAACTGAATTTTTGAGTACTTTCGTTAATTGTTTAAGCGCGATTGTTCTTCGATAAGGAGCTTGCGTCAAATAGCTATATTCGGGAATCTTTTCTGTTTCCTGTTCACGCCATCATTTCCTTTGATTTAGAATGTTATTTTTGCCAAATTTGTTTGTCGATCTAGCTTCGAAAGTATTGATTTGCTATATGCAGGTATGTCCAGAGCACTTCTCCAGTGCTGCGGAGCCTCAAAGTATGCGAAAATCACGTCACGGAGTTTGTCACACCTAGTCAAGGTTCGGTTCATTTTTGCTTCTCTTTGCTTCCTTTTCCTTTACCTCTTTGGCGCATCCCAGTTTAAAAGAATAAATAAATTGCTAAATAAATTTTTGAGTACTGCAACTGAAATCTTCGTTTTAAGCGCAGATTACTGCCCTCCTTATCGCAGACCACTGTAAAGAATGTGCAGAAACGTAACATTTTGTTCAAAATGGGCAATGAAACCCCTCCTAGGATTGTTGGGTATTACGTTGTGTGAGTCAACTACCTATTTGTTCTTTTCTTTCGGCCTCTGCATGAATAAAATTCTAGCTTTCCGCATATACCAGATGAAACAGTAGAGAATAATAGCTTCATGTATGGCATAGCGAAAGGAGAAGATTGGCCTAAGTTGGCGACAGCAACACCAAAGGTGAATCGAGTAACCCCATTACTACAAAGAGAGTCATCGGTTTGATTTTCCGATTCTTTAGGAAATGTACGAAGGGACTGTACGGATGCTCATGGAGTATGGAGCCACGTCGATGGAACATCTGGAACTCCTGCAGAAACGTAAGCAAACCTTGCATTATCTTGACATTTTTACACATTTTTACATTTGTTCCATTTTTATACATTCATGTGTCTTTTCTTGACTTATTACTGTTTTACCGTTCGTCATCTTTCGTTTGAATTTCCTGGAGTGCTAGTAATTTGCTCGAAAGCATCGAATGATGAGATGGTTCAGGTGATGTTTACATCTTGGTTGAACATGATCATCCTCTAAAGGCCATCAGTTCAATCGGTCATACAAAATTATGAAGCAAGCAACTGTCAGAAAACCATTCTTGTTTCAAGCTTGTTTCATTCTAAACCAAA